GAGCTGAGAAACATAATGACCTGGGAGAAATGGAAGCGATAAATATACTCCACCCAATTTATGTACTGTCGCATGACTACCCAGAGGGTTCCCGACTTCAAAATCGTCATAAAATAATATCAAAGGCAGATTCAAGTGATCTCCATCTCCTTCCTTGGCCATGATGTCTCGCCATACTCTGCCCTGCATGATATTTTCAATATCGCCAGTTGAATGCTTGAGGTAATCTAAGTGTTCTAAAATATCCTTCAAGATACCAGGCATTGAAAAAAAGTTTTGGAATACTTCTGCGATCGGTATAACCTGCATTGTGCAAGGTGCAGGTACCAGATTGAACCCTAACAATGTGCGTCTAGGTTCCATGCGCTGCCCTACAGTCACCTCAAGAGGAGGAATATATGTTCCCATTTTTTCGAATAGTTGAAAACGCTTGTATTCGGTTAACAAATGGGAGCCACTTTTAGCATAATCGGTAAGAACTCTTTCAAAGGTCAACTTAATATCGTTTGGCAAATCGATACCCTGAACATCAAGAGACTGGTACACACTATTGAGAATTTGATTCTTAGACTTCGCCATTAACTCAGATAGCTCAACAGATACATGTTGCACTAATCTACGAGAAACACCTGGTTGACTATAAAGAGAGGACAAAAATGCTGCTATATGTGATTCGAGTACATTTTTAGGTAAACTTGTGGGTACCTCTTCCTGAACGGCATAAGTAGAAGCTTCGCATGATGAGGATGGCAAATGTTCCACATGACTTCCCACTATAGAAGAAACTGGTCTGACTTTATGACATTTGTCTAAGTGTTTGCGTAAGGAAGAGAAAGTTGAAAAATGCCTTGAACAAGAATCTTGACCACAATGTAATTCTCTAGTACCAGCCAAAGATGCACACTGCGATCTCATATGTTTCACTAATCTATAGGACAACTGAAATAATCGGTGACAGCCATAGCATTTAAACATTATTCAAAAGGTTGTCCCAAGTCTGTCAACAAATGTTTGATGGATTGAGACAGCCTATCGTACTTTGTTCTTATCTTATAGAAAGCGACTTGGATCAAAAGCCACAAGTCGGTTGCCTCTTCTGGATAACAAGCTCCAGTTGCATGAAAAATTTTGAAAGCCCCGTCAACCGCCCCTATTTCGGAAGTAAAATTATAAATTGTGTCATCTACTATGACATGAAATCTGTTTGCCTCTTCCAAGGTTTGACCAACAATGACAATCAAAGGTTGAAAAGATCGGCCTAACCCTTTATATTTATTTTTTCGAGCCTCCAAAGTCGGCAGTATGTCTGCCTCAGTCGGAACTTGGGTTATAAAAGCATCCCTTACCTCGGATCGTGAGGGTTTCCAAGTTTGTTTCCCCTGCTTCTTGATTGCAGGTGGTACACTCAAAAAATAAGGCAGCAGGAGAAGTATCGCTATGCCACTATTGTTCTTCCCAGGTTCTAAAAAATTGAAAATCATTAAGATTATTATTTGTGAAGTTCTGTCCGATATCATTTTAATAATAATTACACTAATATCTTCATTTATGAAAACGATGAAAAAATATCTCAGAAAATTTAGAAGAATGATTGTTGAATCAACAGAATCTATTTCACGTCATCTAAGAATTTTGTTGAATAAAATAAAGTTCTGTTCTGTTTTGAATAAGTCTATGACTCATTTGGAATTAATATACAGGGTGCATCTGAATTACACCAAGAAAAATTGAAGGATGATTCTGTGATAAAAATTAAGGTGAGTATTTGGTATACAATTTTTTGAAAAACCTCTCATCGGAAAAGTTACACTCTTCTGAAAATCAAATGAAAATTGTTTATCTTTTTTATTTCCCCTGTATATTAAGCTAAAGACTCGAAACTTGGTAAATATTATTTGTCAACAATGCGATGTTCTCAAACAAGTATGTTCAGGTCTTAACTTTTTTTGGATAAAAATTTTTCTGTCAAAAAAACATGGCAAATGCTCAAGTTTTCGAAAAATCTTTTAGAGATAAAAAAGTTAGTGAATCAATTGGGCTTTTTCGCCACGTTTTTTTTTTAAGAAAAATTGTTATCCGAATGAAGTTGGAAGAAAAAAATCTCAGGGATTGAATATTATAACCCCTTGTAAGCATACCCAGGGTTGAAAACATTTCAAAATGTGTAGTTTCATAAACAAATATTCACCAAGATTCGTGTCTTCAGCTTGATATACAGGAAACTTTTTTTTTCAAATCTCCGGTGGGGTGTTTCCTTTGCGAGGAGAGGTTCATCAAAAAATGTTATACCAAATACCCACCTTCAATTTCATCACAGAATCACCCCTTAATTTTTCTCGATGTTATTTAGATACACCCTGTATAATTTGATTTCCGTATACATAACATAATAGATTTCAGTATTTCATATCTCATGAAAGATGAATGTATTCCATACTTGATATTCATATATTTCAACTGGGTGTTTCGTATATCGTGAAGTTTTCACCATGCAGTAAAAATTGAATTTCGCCACGGGAATATATAGGTGCAACCTCTTGCGCGCATTTCCGAATAAGATAAAAATAAAAATAACACAAACGAATCATGAATTTTGATCTATGAAGAGGATGATATAGGTACTCTGAAATTAACTCACCCTAAAACCCTATAGGTTTGACAATGCTCTCAAAATCTCCTCCATTCAACAATCTTAATGTTGCCGTATCAATCAAATGCTCTGCATAAAGGAAATAACATTATTAGTTGCATTCTTGTTATGTAAAAATAATAGGTATACCTAAACGCATTCAGAGGTAATCTCACCTTTCTATATATATATATCTCCTTGAAGTTATATAGAAAAAGGAAGGTGAGTTAACCTCTGAATGGAATTTCTTCGGGAAATTCTGACAGCTGAAGCTGTTTCAATTAATTTTTGGTTATTTACTACACTAGAAATATCCCAAATCATTTAATTTTTGGTTATTTACTACACTAGAAATATCCCAAAGTATCCCTCACAATTTCTAATAACCCTCCAACCTCATGGAATTTCATTTGTTGAATTCACAGTTAGCTAATTTACGCATTTCAGAAGACGTGACTCTTGACGGGTGACACAGGGTATCGGGCCACCCCTGTAACTTCTGCTTTCGTCATCAGATTTTTCTGAAATTCGGTACAGTTATATAAGCAATTATTTCGGATTTGATCACATTACAATCCAATATGGCGGACTTCCGGTATTTCTGGAAATGCCAGCAACTTTGTTTTTTCAAATGAAACACCCTGTATATTTTTACATATTCAAGTTCAACAGGTCGAAACAAGTACAATCTTAATTTCAAATGTCATTTTTTCGAAAAAAATTAAATTAAAATTGTTTTTTCATTTTACCTCGTGGATGAATGAGATGTGGTCAAGACTATTCACAATGAGTCACACATAACAGAAGAACATAATTTTTTCTGAAAAATTATTTTTTGTGTCACTTATCCAGGAATCAATTCAGCCACATCACTTTTTGATCAAAAATTATTTTTTTTCAAATGGAACCCCTATGGGCCACCTACCCGTTTCTCTAGAACATACATTAAGGAACAAAATGAAATATCATTTTTGTTTTTCGGTGCAGTAACAAATTGTATACATTCAAAAATCACCAACTAGTCATGAATTTCCTTGCAGTTAGAATCATTTTTCAACTAGGTAGGCTGTGGAATAAATGACATTTGACATCAAGATTGCACTTGTTATGACCTGTTGAACTTGAATATGTAAAAATATACAGGGTGTTCCATTTGAAAAAACAAAATTGCTGGCATTTCCAGAAAAACCGGAAGTCCGCCATATTGAATTGTGACGTGATCAAATCCGCAATAGTTGCTTATATAACTGTACCGAATTTCAGAAAAATCCGTTGACGAATGTAAAAGTTACAGGGGTGGCCCGATAGCCTGTGTCACCCGGTATTTCTAAAGGCCGCCTGTAGGCACACAAGTAATTTTTTCTACGGCTATATGACACAAAATAGCTTTTTCTACGGCTATATAAAACAAAATTGCTCTTGTTTTACTATGTTCGATGAATCAATGAGGTAATTTTTGTATGTCATCAATTTCATTTCCGTATGTGACATCACAATGACTCGATCCATTGCGTTATTATTTCAGAAAATCTCATCTCCCATGAAATATTATCAAATTTCGAGCAATGACGAAAACCAGATGACTACAAGCCGAAGAAATAAAAAATTTCGCTGTTATCTGTTACAGCCGTAGAAAGAGTATAGTGTATAACTGTGGTTTAACTCGCACGAAATGCTAATTTCCCACGAGAAAGAAGTTTGCAGCATGAGTCGTAGCGATAACAACTTTTTATGTCATCTGTTCCAACCGTAGAAAAAGTATAGTGTATAACTCGCACGGAATGCTATTTCCCACTCGTTGGATTTGCAGTATTCGCCTATTCGGTGCTCCTAAACAATATACTATTTGTTGTTTCACGTAGCAGCAGTATAATTTTTGGTATGTAACAAATAATGATGATGGCTGTTTTCAATCAAAGTGAATATTCATTATACTTGGACCGCTATAACAAAGATATTGTAACACGAAAGTGTGTGTGCCTACACCAGTCGGCCATATATAGGCAATAGTAAAAAAATGGAACCCTTTAAAATTTTGAAATAGAATGAAATACTTGAGCATCAGTTTTCTATTTGCAGAAATTGAAACCCTCTCCTCACGATTGTATTATGCTTTGTTAATATGGATGATGGGTTATATAATGATGTAATAATAATCTATGCTTATACCAAAGGAATGAATTAACAGAAAATGAATTACTTATGGAAATTATTCTTACCTTCAAATGTTTTAATCAACTCAGGGACACCCCAAGTCTGCAGAAGATATTTGGTTTCTTCGTCCATAGGTAAGTATTTGCAAACCACAAAACTGAACTGACCGAACACCTTCTTGATCTATCTTTCCATTGTTTCCACAATTAATGCGTCGATGCATCGCAGTCCGCGTGGATTTTTAACTGCTTTTAAGGTAATTTCAATCTGCAGGGTGGTGCAGATCGAATGACTTCAGTTCCGATTAGCTAAGCGGCCGTATATTAGAACCAGAAAGAATGGTGTTACCACTGAGTGATGCAATTCAGCATTTTGACTTGCACGTATACAAAATTACAACATACAAATGAATTGAGTAGGTAACATTATCATCAGGTAATACTATTATGGCGATGCGGGGCTGAACAATGTCTTGAAGATTAAATTGTGATGACCATCAGGGTGAGAAAAAAATATACTGTTTTAATCTTAATCTTACAAAAACACCGATGTATAGGTACGTGCTTGACACGCAAATCATGCCATTCGTGCTCCTGATGGTGAATAAGTATAGAAACCTACATGATGAAATATTTTTTATATAATAATTATCAATGTTATGATAGGTATATATTGATAGTGCAAGAACCGTTTTATCCTCACGATTGGACTAAGTTTTTTCATGTTTTTTTTGCCATGCAAGATAAGGATAAGGTTCTCTGCTTGGAAGACACAATCAATATAATATGCGGCAAAATAATGTTATGAGAAATCTATCATCTGGTATATTCTGTTGTACAGAATAATGATCAGGTATTCTGCATAGAACACACATAACATAAACTGTTATAAGCAACGTATCATCTAGTATATTTTGCCGTACAGGAGAAGGATCGGGTATTCTGCTTGGACGATAAATATGCGGCGAGATCTACTGTTATGAGGAACGTATCCTCAGGTATATTCTGCCGTACAGGATACGGATTCGGTATTATGCTTGAAAGACACATCTGCGGCAACTATACTGTTTTAAGGAACGGAAATCTGGTATATTCTGCCGTACAGGATCATGATCAGTTAATCTGCTCTAAAGGCACATACTCATCCCTTCGTTGTATGTTATACACTTACAAGCAGTATCCGCAATGTGTATTATCCTTACTGAACTCACTCTTGGTATTTCATCATGATTACGTAAGCCATATCCAGTGTAATGATATTACGGAAATACCATTTCATGGAATGATGTTGAGACCAACCAGAATATCTGCTATGATGCTGTTTCATACGTGATGAAGGTATTTCATGGATATTTAAAGGTGTTACGTACGTAATAATGCAAAAACCGTTACACCCTTATGGCAGGACTAAATTTTTTCCTCAGTGTATCAATATTGATGATTACCATGATTATTTGTCCTTGTGTTATTACCTTGGAGTTCGATTATGTCAGTTTTGGACCTGTCACTTAATTTTTTTTGTTCCATGTTCCACGTCAAAGTCTTTGTCGTTTGTTCATCGGTCAAACTGTCATAAATTTTAGTTCCATCCATATCGATCTTCGTACTGAAATGGTTGCATTCAGTTTAAATTTATTTTTATAAAAAAGTTTTTTCAATTCCCCGCGATGGGAAATCTTATCAGAGCCAGTTTTTTCTGGCTCTTCATTAGATTTGAAGATGTCCACAAGTGTCCCAAATCTGACATCAAGCTGACGAATTTCATTGATTCGATATGATTGATTCCTTTATAATTATTGGAACTTTTTGAACTCCATATTGTTTGATATGTTTTCAATTTTTACAGTTTCCTCATGTACATATTTATTATTAATATATACTCGTGTCTGATGATGGCCGTAGTGCTGAAACCGGTTACATGTGATTAATTGTATTTTATATAAAAGTGTGGTCGACCGACATTGTTCTATTGGTTGTTTTTATTTTGATTCTTCTAGATATTTCATTTTTTACAGGCATCATTGATATTGTTGAAATGGAATATTCTCAAATAAATTATGAACATATAAAAATGGATATATATTTAAATGAAGCAATACATTGAGAATTCGCATTCTCTATGTGATGAGTATATCTACTCTTTTTCAGTTTCAATAGAAAACAACTACTTTCCTGGCTATATGCCACGACGAACATTGAATAATATCTATTGAACACACACGATAAGAGTCTGAAAATAAAATATAAAAACTTCTGAAATTGAGAATTTGCATTCTCCTCCAGACAAAAATATGTATATGCACACATCATTCTGAATATTCAACAGAAAACAAGTACTTTCCTGGCTATTTGCCACTTCGAACATTGAATTATATCTGATGAACTTTCAAAAGGAGAACATGAAAAATAAAAAATAAAATCCTCCGAAATTGAGAATTGACATTCTTCTTCAAATCGGATGACAATTTTCATTTCAATGCTGAATATATTGGTAAGTTATATACATCATTCTCATTGTATTGCTTCATTTAAATATATATCCATTTTTATATGTTCATAATTTATCTGAGAATATTCCATTTCAACACTTTCATACCCAATCAGGGGGTTCCAACTTGAACGATGGAAACTCGTGATAGAGTCTCAATTCAGAATTTCTTTCCACGCCCTGTATGATGAATGTCAATTTATCACACACCCAAAATCATTGATATTAGTTGATAGGTCTATTCATACTTCTTGACATATTGGACTGTTTTGTTTTTCTCGTTGAAGGTTTGCCTAATGTTGGTAAGTTTTGTGAAAATAAATATAAAATATAATAAAAATAGCTATTAATAATTGGCTTAAACTCATTTCAGAGAAATTCCAACTTTTCATTGACCTTATTTAGCCTGTCAGTCCCTTTTTTCGATTCTCTCTGTATCATATACTGAGCGTATGCGCCGTCCCTATGCAAGAAAGTGATACGAGCTCGGATACGAGTAAAGTGATAGTTAAATGCAACATCGAGTAGATACAACATGTAAATGAAGTTCGAAGGTTACATTCGCCGTAATAACAATGGCAAGTGCAAGTTATTAATGATATTATATAGCTATTAAATTGTTTCTGTGTTAGTATGTAACAAGAAGGCGCCACGAGAACCCCCAGGGCACATTCTCTAGTAAAATGTGACAGACCGTTAACTTCTCAGATTTTCTCTGTTTTCTTTCTTCATCTTCTGGGGCGCACGAAATGAAATCGTCATGTTTGATGTTTTTTATGAGCCTGCCTTCGATGGTCATGATTATTTCAATGTTTTACCGATTTTCAATAAATGAAATGAAGAAGACTGTTTTCATTCATGTTTTCCTCAAAATCAGCCAGGTGTCGTATTCTCGACGAGTGTGTGTGTGACTACAATTTGAAAATTGTGTGCATTCGGTTTCCTGGTAATACAAATGATGATTTTATATGGAATAGTTCAAATGCTGAAGAGGTTGCACGAAGCTGGAAATACTGATTATTATACATTATATTATTCATTATTATTTATTCCTATATGAAGGTTTCTAATCTAATAAATCTCTGTTTACTGGATTCTTCTGTGTATACAGGGTGTTTCATAATTGAATGCTGATCCTAAAGGGCGATAATCCTTGGATGATTTTGAGAAAAATTCTTCATGTGAACATAGGTCCGTAACAGCTTAGTTTGTGAGATACAGGATGTTGAAATTTAACAAAAAAATCAGTTATTCCCCAATATCTCTGAAACCGCTCTGTCTTTTTTCTTTAATTTTGGTACATGCCAAGTATGCATGGAATAGTTATTTGTTTAACTAGGCTATGAATTCAGCCACGGCAGTCAATCTACTTTGGTGTCGAGTTGAACATATAATTTTTTCTCCGATTTGCGAATTAATACAATTCCCACAATCTCGTTATTCTTCCTGTATAGTGTTCAATTGAAATAAAATTTGATAGAAATCGCAGTTGTTGGTTTGACAATTCATGAAATTTCTGATAGTTGTGTGAAAAAATATCGGTATATTTGAATTCTTATATAATGGACAGTGATAGCGACCTGCAAGTATACTTACACCTCCATTAATAAGGGAGGTGGCAAAAAATATAGAGTTGAATTTGTTGCCGGAGAAGTCTCGGATGGAATATGAAGAAAATTATAAACGATTTTTGGATTTTTAATTTTGCTGATACATATCAATCAGCAAAGCAACCACTTTGCTGCCTAGGCAGGAAAAGTAATACTTTGCTGATTGATATGTGTCAGCAAAATTAATATTTACTGCCAATCGGAGGAAAATACATTTTTTCCGTAATAAAGGATTTCTCAATTTCCATCAGTGCCGTCCCTGTTAACATATAACATAATATCACATATCTAGCTAAAGAAGTGTCAAAATTGTTCATTTTGAAAACAACGAAATGTGTTCTTAGCATACTAGATGTTTCTAGCCTCGTTTCTAGCCCACAAGATAATCATACTACTCTTCAACGTCTGATTTCGCGTATACAGTGTGTCCATTTAGTGCGTAATTCTTCGATATCTCGGAATCAATTATCACAAGAGAAAAACTTTGGACAAAAAAAATTTTTTCAGTTACTGAAGTTGCTTATTTCGAAAATATTTCCAACAATACTGGGTGTCTTATAAAAGCGGGGCAACTCGAAGACAAGTTTTTTCAAATGGAACACCCAGTATTGTTCACTCGAAATTTATCCCGCTTAAGTTCAGCTCTACATCGCTGTGAAAAAAATTCAATTCGGTTGCGGCGTTGCCAAGTTATAATTGATAAACCCATTTTTACTACTATTGAAGGGTCATGTTCAATTGGGCATGGTATATTTATTTATTGGAATTTCGAAAATATTTTTGGCATACAGTAGAAGCAAGGTCTCACGTATACCAATCCAGTAATCTTGCGAGATAATCCTCTACAGGGTGCTAAAATTTACATTCTGAATATTGTAAGATTCAGATGACGATCATAAGAATTTTTCAAATGGAACACCCTGTATTTTTCATCACGGATTTATTTCGACATCATTCGCCTTTTCATCGCAGAAGAAAAAATCAAAATCGGTTGCGGCGTTTTCAAGTTATGAGTAATTTCCTTATTTTTACTACTATTTCGGGGTGATTTGTACGTCATGATGGTTTCTTAATTTGATTTGAGTGTGGAAATATTGCTTGCCACATGACATTCGAGGTTCTACATAGATCATTCAGGTATTTTTGTGATATGTGCATC